CAGTTGCGCTCTAAATTTTGATTTGAGTCCAATCGAAACTCTACCATCTCCAACAGATGACAATAAATCATTGATATCATTTTATTTTAAAGCTGACAATGCTTGTCCATCGATTTGCTCCTCTAGATAACAGTTAAATAAAATAAAATATAAATAGACAGAAGGCTAAAGAAGTGATAATAACGCTCACTCCAAAAAATGTCAATGTACTGTTCAAAACCAATATTTTTTAACCATGCAGAAACCTCCTCGGATTTCCACTGAATCATTATTTAATTTTAAATCTATAATGCAAGGAAAATGTATAGTGTGTTTCTTAAATTCTCAATTACAGAGAAAATATGATCTAAAATAAATCAAAAGATTGTTCCTAAAACGACGAAGAAACGGTTTCGGACGCTGCAACTGTATGGTTCTGAAATTGTAGTAGTTATAACAATAAAAAAGTTGAAAAATTTCACAACAATAATGCTACAAATCAAATGAACTGATACAGACGTGCTACTAAAGTGTTTTGGAAATTTAATACATTATTTACAATCACAAAATTTACTTTCATCGATGGAAATGAAGCTAATTTTTGGCAGGTGTCAGAGAACGTAGCGAAGTTTTAGTGACACAAGAATGTAACTTTTTACAGACGATGTTCGATGTTTTGTCACTTGTGACTGACGTGAAAAGAGGTAAATGAAAATAGTATCCTTCGAAAATATTAAAGCAAAAACAAATTCAAGTCGAAAGAACCAATTGTAACATCTGTTGGGACTTAACGTTCCGCCAGACTTGTAAGAACAACAGTTGCCACAGCTGACCCGTTCGGCTTCATTCGTATGCTACCATAAAACGGGCAAATATCAGAGTGATTCTTATTCGCCGCACGTATCCCTTGTTAAATTGTTTTCTTTCTTTGAGAAAAAGCAGAGGTATTTACAATACCGTTAGACGAAAAGGAACTCGGATATACTTCAAATTATTAAAAATAAAATAATTTTCTCCTCTGTGTGCTAAAAACTCGTCTGCATGAAGAATTGTAAATTCTGTTGAATCCTGTACTTTGTAAGCCCAAAGATCTTCATTAAATGCGCCTGTTTGCAAACATTTTACTAAAAATTTCCATTGATTGTCAAAGTTTAGTATGTAACAGATCTCGACAAAAATCGGTATCTCTTCTCCACCGATCAAACTCCAAACAAAAACCTCATTCACCTTGTACTTAACGTTATTGATCTCAACCCACTTAACGGTCTGAACTATTCCATCTTCTCTGTCAAAAATTTCTGGCAGCTCCTGCCCTATAGCTAACTGTACAAAAGGAGGAAAGCTACCCGCATCTCGGCGTTGAAATTTGGTACTCGTACCGCTAACTGAAAGAATTTTTTCATTCATAAGTTCGTAGCACTGACGAAGCTGTGATCGTTTTGCGAGAGTGTACGGTAAATTGACGAATGAGTTACAGTGCATCGAAAACTGCTTTAATATTTTGTGTTTTGATTCATATCTAATGTTGACTTGTTTTTTAAAGATCCAAATTTAGCTAAATTCCTCGCCGAATGACATAGAAAGTGATATTTTGGAAAATAATGATCCGGAAAAATAGTCTGACTTAACTGTAAATATTCAGAAACTAATTCGTTCAGCTGCAACAGCCAGCTGCGTCGAGGAAAGTCCGCTGATAAAATATCCCAAATCTCACGCAGAAGTTTGTATAGAAACCAGTACGGAATCCTATCAACGAAATTAACAAAAATAAATGGAAGGTTAATGAATAGACAAAGTTTTTCTACGGTTTTTCCAGGAATTTTTTCCGTTTCTTTTATCTGAGGGGGCCTATTTCGTTTATCACAATTTAAATATTTAAAATTATTAACTTTTTCTTTTAATGCTGCGGCAGTTAACAATCGACTTTTTATAATGGTCTGAAAAAGACAGACAGTGAGCGCAGGCATAATACCTTCCATAAAATCGTGCATCAGATCCGGTGGCAAAGAAGTTATTGGATGAAAGAAGGACAGACAACACAAAGGCGATGGTGCCGATATTCCGTAAAGTTTTTTATCGCGTGAAACATTTTTAATGAAATCTAACTGTAAATCATGACTTTGCGGCGTCGTTAGAAATATTTTTGAAATCTTTAAAATCTGCTAAACAATATCTACAACAGTGACCAGTATTAAAACAAGTAGAGAATCCACCTATCTCATGCGCCGCTTTGTTGTCCGCGCACAAAGTGCTAAGAGTGAAAAATATTTTATCTGGCACTTCAGAAACACGAAGCCCTATTTCTTCTAAAGTTTTGAGATCATCAGAAAGTTTTGAAAACACTGTAGCTTTTATTCTACGATCTTCAAAGTCTTTAGTTTTAATTAAAAGTAGCAAATGAATGTTATTTAATGAAGAAAAATACTGTGGTGGTACATCATCAATCGAGAAATAAAAGGCAGTCAATTTATGAACAGCTTGCTTTCCTAAGAGAGAATTTACAACTCCTAGATCGTCCACGTAAAACTGCAAACTGACATACTTTTTAGTGTTGTCAGAAAGGAAGGGATGAACAGCTGCTAATTCTCCACATCGATAATGTCCCAAAACGTCAGTCGTTTGCCTCATTTTTTCAATAAATTTTATGTAGTCAAATACCGCTGTCCTAAAGTCTTGTTTACTGAAGAGCACTTTTAAAACTTGTTTAATATCTACGTAATAAGCCTTGTGCCATGATATAACTAGCATCAGTTTCACTGATAGATTCCAAAATGTATCTCACTTTTGCTAAATGCTCTTTTCCTTCTCCAATTGCAGCTAAAGCATTGCTACTACTAAGAAAAGACTCTAACAACCCGCTGTAACCGAGAGAGATTGAGTGCATTATAACACCTGGTAACATATGTCCTTCACGAATTTTTAGTAACATTGATACGTACAGTCGCCTAACTTCATCATAAAGATCTTTCTTTTCGGTTTCTGCATCTTCACCATTAACATCAATCTCACTAAATCTATTTTCACTATCTACCTCTACAGATAACTGCGAAGCGTCCGTGACAAGCTGTCTAACATCGTTCAAAATATCATCAGACTGTAGAAAAGTTTCTTTTGCTTGATGTTTTTTAAAAAAATGTCGTTGAAACGACTGAATGTTCGTGAATAAAAAATTTGTATCGCAAAGAGGACATATCGTTCTAAACTGCCGACAGCTACCATGACACATACGCACATGCCGAAGAAAAGCTTCATTTCCGTTTACACGATTATTACAAACGGCGCATCTATCTACAGAGTTAGACATTCACAGAATAAAGATAAAAAATCTTAAAAATCCTTATTTTTAACTTAACACTCAAAACATGTTATTTTTCACGATGTAAATCACATTTTTGCAATTGTGCAGAATGTCGTAGATAAAGTAAGAATAGATCAGTTGACTTATTTTGATTAAAGTATAGCTAAAATAATAATTATTGAGTTTTAATTTATTGTTCCCACCAAGCAATTAATATAACAATTCTAAACAAAGATCACTGATACGTTCCTATAAAAGAAAAGAAAAATTTCCACAAAGCACCATAAATTGCGACGAACCGAAAGAAATATAAAAGGATAATTATCTGACTTCGAAAATTAATTGCTGCAAACATAAAATTATATTTAAAACATATATATATTACATAATAAAACAGTAACAATAATAAAGGCAAAGAACACAAAATAGCAAATGAGCAGTTTACCTGTAGAAAGTAATTACCTCTGATTAGTGCCACAAATAATCTTTTGCTTCTCTAAACAAAGACACGAACCATGAGATTTAGAGACAGTTTCTGCTAGATCAGACACGTCAGCCGATGAATTATCTCAAACACTTCTTCTATCTGTTTATCAATAAAAATAAGTGAGATGTCATGAATTTTCAATCAATGAACATTACATATACGTATAACATACCAAATGTAATTGAAACTGTAAACTGGTAAGTCAAATAATCTGTTACTTCGTATTCCAAGAACTAATGCTGCCGAAATTTATTAATAAATGATGGACCCGAGTCAGCGGCATACAAAGCGTATAAACTACAGGTTGAATATTATCAGCCACAACAAATACTGACAGACAGACAAATGGAAATGAAGAATACTCTAAAACCAACTTTTGATTGTTGAAACGATCTATAATCTAAAAGTAATACAGAATCGAGAAAAGCGGATAATTACGCAAACAAGAAAGCTAAAAATGAAGCTCTAAAGTAACAAGAATGGTGTCTATTCAATATGATCTAGGCAAAGTGATGTTGTTTTCTAAAATTCTGTTTGCACTTTAATGATTAGATCGTCGTAACGTGGAATTGCTGTGGATTGGCCAGAGCTTGAATGTACGCAAGAAAAAAGTAATGAGCATTCTGGTTTTAGTCTTTTGACTAAAAACGCAACGAAAAAGTATAAAACGGCCTATCACACAAGTAAAAAAATATAAAATAAAATAATGAAAATATATTAAACCCCTTCAAAATGTACTTGACGAACGAAGTTTCAAATAATAATAATAAGAGAAATGAGGAAGAGAAGATAAAAACATAAAATAAAAATAAAAATCAGCAACGAAGCGAAGGTGATAAAAGATATACATCTGATGCAGCTTTGTATTTTGTTATTTTCTTTTTCATTATCTTTTTAGCCAACTGACTTAACAATTCTTTCAACTTCTCATCTTCTTCTTGCATAAAATCCAACTGAGTGTAATCAATCCACACTAATTTATTCGCTGACATAACTTCTTATCTAAAACAGCAGAACGCAGAGACAGAGAAAGAGGAACTGCTAAAAAAAAACGTCCTTTATAGATTGCTCTCAAAGACAGATGGTCAACACTTTTTTAGTTGAAAGACAAAAAAAAGAACAGTTCAACTCTCGTTTAGTGAGATTTCTTTTCTCAGAACAGCGCAAATCACAAGAAGTCATTTTCTATGAAACCAGAAGCTCGAAATACAGACAAGAAAACGAGCAAATTTAACTTTGATTTATTCTTTTTCTTTATTGAAATGATTACAAAAACATTCAACTACGTGTTGTACACCGAACCTATTAAATGTAAACCATCCTTTTGCAAATGTTTTTTTGTAATTTGTAAATCGAATAAATCGAAATTGAATTTGCCCGTTCTTTTTAATCTCTCCAGTTTATTGTTGTACGTTTTTATTCGTTTTCCAGAAATCCCGTCAAAATCCTATCATCTGACTAGGGTCTGGAACGGAAAAAAGTACTAAATTACTCATAAAATGACATGCTGCATTCGAATTTCGACTTAGTTCGGAGTCAATATGTATTAGTAACTGAGAATTTTGACGGGATTTCTGGAAAACCGTCACAAGAAACACCATCTGCCAAAGTCAATACCTTGCGCCTTTTGTAGCACTAGTCGAGTAGTGTGTGGACTAACAAGATCTCGAAGAACCAACGGGTAGTTTTCGAGGGAAGAGACCGGGAAGGACCAAAGTAGGTCTCACGACTACGCTTACCATAAAGAAGTAAAAAGTGCTAGAGACTTCATTATTGCGTCATATGAACAAACTTGGAAGCCGTTTTCATTTGAATATAAATAAAGTTATGTTTTGTTGGGTTTTGAGCTCGTCCAGCGCGCTATAAAACGAGTGATATCTGCTAATGCAGTTAAGGTCCT